GGGGGGGGGGGGGGGGGGGGGGGCTTCAGGCCGTATTCCGACCGTCGCAGTAGGGGGTGTCGACGGGAGGTTGCTGTGTGTATTCCGAAGAGCGCTCCGAAGTCACATACCGTTGGCGTGCTTCGCTTGTAGATCCCCGGAGTGGCGTGGTAGTTGGAGGAGGTTCAATGCTCTTTCCGCCCCAAGTGACATACGGTCTGTCTTGCCCAAGGTTTGTGCTTTCTACAAAGCACTCCGAACCTTCACGTACGTTTGTCACAATATGAATATTGACCGCTTTTGGGGATGCTTTGCTTGTACATCTTGGAGCGGCATGTTAGTGGGAGATTCAATGCCCTTCCCGGCCTGGCGAAATTAGTTCTTCTCTTGTAGGACGGTGAAAATCGCCAGACGAGTGGATAGTTTGAGATATGTTGCTGAGTATTTTTGCACAAGTGATTCTTTGGTTTTGCGGTGCAAGATCCTTGTTCTTCATTTTTGGCTTCTGTCTCTTTGGCATATTCTTGTCATCGGGCAATAAATGTCGCACATTTTTTTGCTGTTTTGTTTGTTTTTTTCCGCAGAACGTGGTGAAGATCCTGGGTCTAAAGTTCAACCACAAGTACGACGACACGAAGCAGCTGCGCTACGGCCACCTGATGATCATGACCGATCAGGATCACGACGGGAGCCACATCAAGGGTAGGCGTGTGTATCTCCTCCGTTTGTCGCAGTTCGGTTGATTGGGCGGCTGGTCTCACGCTACGTACCCCCCGACAATCTACTGCCCTGTAGACTGTCAGCTTGCTGATGGTTTGCTTTTTCGCACGTGGACCTTTTTGGAACAACCGGAGGCCCGTTAGTCCTTCGCTAGCACTTGTCGAAGCCAGCTAGCTATTGGCGCCAAGAACAGCAGCAACCGCAACAGCAACAACCGCACTACTGTTTGAAGTTGTGAATAATGGATCTGTGTGCTGCAAACACCGATGGGACCGTCGACTAGTGCCAGCAGCGGCAACAACAACAAGCACGTTGTAAATCGTCACTGCTCTCGAAACCCCTCGTTTGTTCAGGACTGCTAATCAACTTTGTGCACCACTACTGGCCGTCCCTGCTGAAGATCGATGGCTTCCTGCAGGAATTCATCACCCCGATCGTCAAGGTCTCCAAGGGTGAGGGAGCACTTGTAGCTTGCGCGTGTTGAAACCTGCTGACACGAGCTTCTTGTGTATTCCACCCTTCGACAAACAAACTTTGTACATGCATCGCAACACATCAGAGCCGTCATAAAACGAATCAAGCACACAACAGCAAGAAAAGAATCAAACAAGGTTCGTTATTGTTCTGAAACACGGGTGTTCGCATGACGTTGTGCGCCGTTACCCTGTTTAGCGTTGCAAGACGTTTGTTCGCATGATGTAGCGTCTCGTTGTCGCTTCTTGTTGCCCACCCTGCGCCACGCGATGGGAAAAAACTGCTGCAATTCCTTCCGGCCGTGGTTTTGATGGGAGCTTTTGGGACGGCACTGGACGGCCGGTTTGTGTATCATCCCAGGAATCTTGTTTCGGAAACATTTTGCGCCTCCACTTTTTTGTTGCTGTTGTTGAGTCGCACAGCGAATCGCGACCCGTAAGTCCATAGCTGCGTCAACTCATCCCCTCCGTTGTTGGTGTCAGGAATCTTATTTCGAAAACCTTCTGCGCCTCCCCTTTTTTTTTTTTTGTCGATCGCCGCGTCAACGTATCCCCTCTGTTGTTGGTGTGAATGCGGTGTCGTGACACCCAGGCCGAAACGAGCTGTCGTTCTACACGGTCCCGGAGTACACGGTGTGGAAGGAAGGGCATGCCAACGGCAAGGGGTGGAATGCCAAGTATTACAAGGTATTTTTTTTTTTCTGCGCTGCCGTTTTTTGGACTCCAGGATCCAGAGAACCGTACTCAACAAAAAGACGACAGATCCACGCGAGATGTTACACACCCCCCGCCCAATACCACGCCCACACAAAGTGTGCTACTTGGTGGTGGTCCAGATACCGGCCAACCAGAGAATGAAAAACGTATATCCTCTTCGAGTTCAAGAATATAGTGGATCCCCCCTCATCCATCATCCCCATTGTGATTTTTTTTCAAGGCCAAAAACGTTTCACGTCGCACTTGTCCAGGCTTTGTTGCCTTTTTTGTCTCCAGTCGATGGCATCCCCAACTGCTACCTCTGGTGTTGTTGGCGCTCTGTTCCATGCGCTGGCGGTCGCGCGTGCATCCACGGTGCAGTGCGGTGGTGCGGGCATTTATCTCGGCGGCAAGGGACGGCATCGATGAGTGTCCCGGCAAAGTTGGTACTCGATCCGACGTTATCTCACACAACACCTAGGTGTACATCGGACAAGCCAGATCGACAGCCTGATCCAATGATCTTGGTGCCTCCTATCCCTAGCCGTTGCTGTGGTGCCTCCTATCCCGAACCGTTTAACTGTGGCGCTTTCTATCCCCAACCGTTTCGCTGTGGTGCCATGCGTGCGTGGCGGATGCGTAGGGTCTGGGTACCTCCACCGCCAAGGAGGCCAAGGAGTACTTCGCGGCGCTGGACACTCACCAGCTGGAGTTCGAGTGGCAAGACGACCACAGGGATGACGACCTCATCGACATGGCCTTCAGCAAGAAGCGAGGTGTGTGCGCAGCAGCACTTGTTTGTCTTGAAGGAAACGGAACACGATGATCCCTGTCCATAGATACGAATCCTGTACAACAAGTTCCCGCCGCGGCAAGGAGTTCATGATGTCGTAAGGCGTACCCCTGTGGGTAACAGGCTGAAGACCGCAAGCGGAATGTGTTGCCTGTATGTGGCTGAGCTGAGGTGTCCACAATCTTCCCTCAACATGGGCGTATTCTAGGTTGAGCATGACCATTTGGCCGTGGTTTTGGTGCCGACGTCTTGTGTTCCCGATTTGCCGATTCCGCCGGAGTGCTGTTTGTGACGTTGCTATCGCTGTTAGTGCTGTTTGCCGCCGTGCTGTGGTCCTGACACTCAACGCTTTCTTGGATCATTTTTTTCTTGTATGCTTGCTTGCCGCTGGTGCTGTTGATGGCTGTCTTCTCAGTGGAGGACCGGAAGGAGTGGCTCCGCGGATTCAAGGCCGGCACCCACGCGGACTACAACGTGGAGTCGGTCACGTACGAGAGTTTCATCAACAAGGAGCTCATCCTCTTCTCGGTGAGGCCCCCCGCAAAATCGTGCGCGACGCTTGTTGCTGCACTTGTAATTACCGTCTCTTTCTTGGGCTCTATACCCGCGTCGATGGGGTGATGTACTTTGTAGCCGTCGTTTTTTTATCCGTTATTTTTGATGGTACCGCGTGTTTTCTCGATTTTCGAATTAGCGCGCTCTGTCTGGTCTGTTGGTGCGCTGTTGCTGACAATATTGATACTTGCGATGTTTTTGTTTTTTTGCTTTGATTTGCCCTCATCATTTTCCGTTGGTGCTAACATAATGTGTTTGTATTCATTTGGTTGTTGTTACACGTCTTGTTCTGTATTTGGCGGGTCAATGCTCATTACGACTGCCTGTCTGGTCGGACCCTATCAGATGGAGGACAACAAGCGGTCTATCCCATGCCTGGTCGACGGTTTCAAGCCATCGCAGCGCAAGGTCCTCTTCTCCTGCTTCAAGCGGAACCTCAGGAAAGAGATCAAGGTATGTATATTTATATCCTTCATTGTTTGTTTGCTTGATCTTCTGTGCTTGTTGCACTCTTGCTGTGGCTCCGCGTTTGTACTGAATATGAGGAATTTCCTGAAGAAATTTCCTGAAGGTTGGTCGTGCTACCGACGACCCGGCTTGCTGCTTCTCGAATGGTGCTCCAGTTTGCACGCACAAGGAGACTGAAATGAGTTGGGTTGTTGCGCCGTGCTTCAAATTCACTTCTAGACGGAGTTGAAGTGCGACCTTTGGCGGTACAGCCAGGGGCTTCAAGGACGCCGAGCACTCGTGTAGCTTGTTGGTGCCTTTGTGTCTGCGTGTGCCATATGGGCTTATTTCGAAGAGTTTTGGACGACAGTCTTGGGGCCCCGAAGTGTCCCTCTTTCGTCAGAAAAAGGACCGCCCAGCCGTCCGCTCGCCCTTCCGACGCACAGCAGCCTGGCGTTACTGCGCACTACCCAATCATTGCCAGCAACGGCGGGTAGGGTTTCCTCAGTAGCGATGGCGATATGACGATACTACACAGGAATAAGGACACACGTACACACCACAGTAGTTGCACACGTACGCACGCTCGCCCCACGGCTTTCCTTTGCATTCATGCCTTCGAGTAATATCACGCGCACGCCCATCTTCATTTTCTTCGCCCCCCCCCCTCCGCACCCTCGAGAGCCTCGTCCGGTGAGAACCCGGCGTGCTTCGTCCCGGCTTTGTAGGGATGCGAGGTCAATGGTCTAAACGGCTACGGCATGTACGACTATGAGTCCTCCCCCCCCCCCCCCCCCCCCCCCCTCTCTCGTCAAAATTAGGTGGTGCAGCTGGCGGGGTACGTGTCGGAGCACTCTGCGTACCACCACGGAGAGGCCTCGCTCAACGGCACCATCACCGCCATGGCGCAGAACTTCACGGGAAGCAACAACCTCAACCTCCTCACGCCGGGCGGCCAGTTCGGGACCAGGCTCATGGGCGGAAAGGTGAGAGGGGCGCTGGCGTGCCGTGCTACACATGCGTAAGTTTTTGTTTTGGTGGTGGGGGTGTAGTTGTTTGTAGATGGTGGGTGGTCGTGCAAAAGGCTACGTACAATTGCCTCAAGTGCACACGGAAATTGTCCTCTCGAGGTTGAATTGGGTCCTTTTTCTTTGTGGCACGACCGGGGTCTTGGGCAAGAATGGGACGGTGGCGTGGACGGCGGCTGGCACTTTGTTTCGGGCAGCGAGGGCCATTGAAAGCGTGGCACTTCGTGCTATTTTGGAATGTTTTTTCGGCGTGCATGTGTGTTTGGCTTTTGGCCGCATGGGCTTGCTGACCTCCCCATCCCCTCACGCTTTCGCCCCTTGTGAATTGTTGTTGCTGCTTTCGGCCCATTCATCAATCGGTCATCATCCGCGTTATTCTTTTTTTCAATGTTGCCGCTATCAGTCCATCAACCATCATCCGCCCTTTTCAACCGTGTTGCTGCTGGACCCTTTCATCCATCACGACTCCCTCCAGGACGCGGCCAGCCCTCGTTACATCTTCACCGCCCTCGAGAAGGCTGCTAGGGCCGTTTTCCACCCGGACGACGACGCCCTCTTGACCTACCTCGATGACGACGGCCTGTCCATAGAGCCCGAGTTCTACATGCCGATTATCCCTCTCATCCTCGTCAACGGCTCGGACGGCATCGGTACCGGCTGGAGCAGCAACGTAAGATATGACCGTTGGCCTTAGCCTTGTTTTTTGGATTTTGTACCGTTGGGTGACGCCCTTGGTGGTGGTGCGGTGCCGTGATGTGGTCCTCGAATACTTCTTGTTTTGGTTCCTTCGGCCTGGTTTCGGGACCTGCGGGTTGGCTGCAGTTCGGCGGTACAGAATGTACAGGGTGATTGCGTCGTTCTGTTGTTGACGGTGCTGGTGTTGACGCGCGGATCGGTCAAACGGTGATACGGATACGCAGGTGTGTTAAGTGTTGTGCGAGCATCGGTATGTCGCTACTACTCGGGTTCAGCCTTATCTTGGAATCGGCGCTCTGTGTGGGAGGCCGGCCAGCATGATCCCTTGCTTCCGTTCCTTATTTTACGTTGCCGTGTCTCTGACATGTGTCCTCTCGTTCAAACCCCCATCTTCCTACGACATGGATTTCTGTATCTCGTTCTGGCTTTAATAGGCTGTATTTCTACATCTTCTTTAATATGAGATAAACCCTCTTTAATAGCATTTATTTGCTCTTTAATAACATTTATATTTTTAAGCTCTTCATGAATCATAGATTCAAAACAACTATTTAAAAAATTTAATAAAGTATTAATTTTAGTCTTATCTTCGCTTTTTCGTGAGTAGGTGCCGAACTACTCCCCCCACGACGTGATCGAGAACCTCAAGAGGCGCATCAAGGGGGACCAGTTCGTCGAGATGCAGCCGTGGTATAAGGGCTTCGCCGGGTCCATCGAGGTCGGTACCCTTCGCAGGGTTTTTATATTATGTCAACATGTTGGATAAAGCGTACAATCGGGGAAGTTGGTGGGGCTAGGGTAGGGGTGATAGGGTCTGCGTACCCCCCCCCTTGTTCTGTTTCCTTGCTAACCTATTTTCTGACGAAGGTGATCCATCGAGGTCGATGAGGGTTCCGTGTCTCCTTCAAGCGTTTTCTCCCCCGTACCAACCCTTGGACCCCGTGTTTTTCTTGCCACAACTGACGGTGTTCGCGTTTTTTTGGGTGGATGTGAGATTCCGGCGTTCTAATGCTGGGGCGAGGGATCTAGGCTTCCGCCCATCACACACCATCCCGTCCGTGTGTGCGCATTGGTTCGGGGATTTCCTCGGTTCAGGATATCGTCTGGCTTGGTGACGTTTCCCATGCGAGGGTATCTGTTGGGTACGTCGTCTCGCAAGTAGTATTGTGCTGCACCTAGGCAAGACCTCACGTTGGGCATTGGGCTGCCTTCGTAGCACCCATCCTGTGGACGACCATAGAAGACCGCAGCATTGCTACGTATGTGGTGTGGCACCTCATCCAGTTTGGGCCTTGACCAATGCGCGCCGCCGTCTCCGCTTTTCCGCTGTCGCAGGCCAAGGTCGGCAAGAAGGGGTTTGAAGGCTCGTACACGGTCAGGGGCATTGTCAACCGCGTCGATGACACCACAGTAAGAAGCTGTTGTTGTCGACCTTTTATTGGCATGAAGGAAGCCGGGTGGGGGTTGGTGCCCAGGCGAAATTGAAAAGAGGAGCTTGCTGACTGATCGTGCCCGTCATGCAGAGAGAGAGAGAGAGAGAGAGAGAGAGAGAGAAAGAGAGAGAGAGAGAGAAAGAGAGAGAGAGAGAGAAAGAGAGAGCACTACGGGGGTTGCTGGTGAAGCGAGAGATTTGCTGGCAAACAAGGCGGTCGTCATGGAGCGTTCAGGGTTGGTTGTTGTTGTTGTTGTTTTTGTTGTTGGCTTCACATTGAAATCCGTTCCGTTCTCTCTGCCCAGTACCTTCTTCGGTCCGTACTAGTCTAACACTTGACGGGGTCGAGGTCTGGGCGCATAGGAATAAAAAACACTCAAGCGTCGTCGGTCGCTCCTACGGCCTGCCTACTACTGCTGTGGCTTTTGTTCAGCCGGGTTGGTTGAAACCATTTTTTTCATCACTATTTGCTTTAGTCGGCGCTCACAGTATTTCTGGCGGGTCGGAGCTCCAGTCCGTGGTCACGCAGAAGGTTTCCTCGCCGTGAGACAGACCCCTTGCCCACCCCTCCTCCTCTCCCTGATGCCCACCATTCCTGCTGTTTTTTTATTTATTTATTTCAGGTGGAGATTACCGAGCTGCCCGTCCGGAAGTGGACCCAAGATTACAAGCAGTTCCTGGAGAGCCTTCTGCCGGGGGCCGAGGACGCCAAGTCGAAGGATGCCAAGGGCAACGGGAAGAGCAAAGGGAAGGGCAAGGGCGCCGCGGACAAGGACAAGTCGCCGACCCGCTGCATCAAGGACTTCAAGGAGAACCACACTGACACAACGTGAGCCATTGGGAGGGACTGCTGCGCCGGGCGTGGTGCTAAGCGCTGTTCGTTTTTGCTCTGTAATATGTGTCGCTTTTAGCACGGTGAGTCCACCTGCACCCTTGGGCAAGGCCTGATATGCCTATTGCCTGTTTTTTCTGCTTGAAGGATTGACGTTTTTATTTCTTTTGGGGTACCTTTTCGATCTGCCAAGTAGTTAATGGATGTTTTGATTATCGATTCCAGTAGTTATTGCTTGATCACTGTTGTATCTGATTACTCGTATGGATCAATGTTTGTGTTTCTGCGTTTTTGTTTTTGTCAGGGTTCACTTCACGGTGACGATGTCGATGGAGGACCTCGATGCCCTGGACAAGGGCGACGGTCTCTACAAGTTCTTCAAGCTGGAGTCCAGCGTCTCGACGAACAACATGGTGCTGTTCGATCAGGACGGGCACCTCGAGAGGTTGGTTGCGTCTATCGTTGCCGTTGCTGTGATTCACTGTTGGTGCTGCCGCTGCAGTTGCGCTGCTGTTGCTGCCGCTGCTGTTGCTAATACTGTTTCCGGTCGTCCCACGAGGTTCTAGCCCAGATCAAGGGCATGGAACACACAGCGGTAACAATCGTCATCCACAACATTTTTCTCATGGTGCGTCCTGTGTCTGGTGGTGCGCCTGTATGTTAACTCGTACAACCAAACGCCGGTGAATGACGAGATGCCGTTGTTTTGCACTCGTCGGGATCAGGTACGAGTCCCCCCAGCACATCATGGAGGAGTTCATCACCCTCAGGAGTGAGTTCTACGACCGGCGCAAGACGTCCCTCCTCAACAAGCTGCAGAGCGAGTGGAGCAAGCTCGACAACAAGGTGACTGATGCATGATGGGTAACGGGGGGTTGTGCGGAATCGTTGTCATGTTGACACCCTCGTGATGGGCGGCATCATGTTGTGAATGAAGCCTGTAGTGCCATCAGTGCCGTTCGGAAGCCCCAGGGCGGTAACCATACGAAACCCCTACCAATGTACTTTTACCTGACCGGCCACAATGTGGGGTCCCGTGCACTTGTGGTTACACCCCGTACCACCACGGTGCCGTTTTCCAGTTGCAAACGTTTATCCATTCTACTGGGCACTGCGGTGTTGATGATTCCCGTGGTTGTGAATTTGGTCCCACGTGCTCCGCTTGGGTTATTTTGTACGCCGTAGTTGCTTTGTTGCGTTTGGTCGGTGTTGGTGGCTGCTTCGTGACTGCCGGGTTTTGTCGTTTTGTTTTCTGTCGCGCTGTTTCGGACGGGTGGCGATTCGTAGGCGAGAACGGCGGCGTGTGTTCCGGCCGCGACGGTTCTTTCCCATCTCTTTTTTTTTTTCCATGACCATAGGAGATCCCACTCCGAGGACAGTCAGTTTGCTTTGGCGCGTAAGCACTCACCACAGAGCAATTATTTAGCGACACGCCTCTTGTCCCCAATAAAACAACCATCACGATAGTTCCTCTTACTGATTTGCAGGGGGGGTTTCATCGTGTGGAAGGATCTTCCTCAACCATGACACCACATGTTTGGCTCTCTTATATATATACTTCGAAGTATATATATATTTTTTTCGGCGTGGCTCGTTCTGTGTAAGAATCGAGCTGCCACCACATTGTCACCAACAAGTACGCTCCTTCCTATTGTCCTGATGTTAGGTGCGATTCATCCTGGCCGTGGTGGAAGACCGTATGCAGGTCAACAACCGCAAGAAGTCGGAGCTCCTGGAACAGCTGAAGAGGGAGGGCTACGACCTCTTCCTGCCGGCGTGAGTACGACACAGCAGTCGAGTCGCGGTCCATCAATAGTGCCGGGGTGAAGTGGTGCCACTACCCTGGAAAGTGCCGGTGAAATCGCGTAACTTGAGCACTATTGATGGACCTTGTTACTTTTCAGATATATATATATATATATATTTTGCGTTTTGTGCCGTCGTGCTCGATGCTTTTAAGCACGGATGTCTAGCCCCCACCCCCCCATTTTTTTTTTTTTCGCTGGTTTCCCGGGCGTTTTTTGCCGTTCGTTGTGCCCGATGTGTTGCAGTACGGACGTGTGGTGCTCTTGTTTCCTTGCTGATTTTTCGGGCTTGTGCGTGTGGTGCGTGTGCCGTCCGCCGCTTGATGTGGTGCGTGTGCAGCACGTCCAAGCTTCGCGTCGCCGGCAGTGTGGAAGACGGCGAAGGAGAGGACGGAGGTGAAGGTGCGAAGGCGTTCCTAGCTCCTGGTTGTGTCTTGAGTGACGAAAAATACATACTTTTTTTTTGCGGTGCTCTTCGACACGGCGTGTAGCTGTGCAGGCACCACGCCGATCATATTCGGCGAGTTAGGGCTTGGCCAAGCGGGCACACGTCAACAACAGCTTGTAGGGATGATGTTGGAGTTATCGGTGACAACGGACAACCGGTTTCACTCTCGCTCTATTTATCTCTCAGCCCCCGCCTCTTCTCTCTTCATCGCCGGCATCGAACCACTTTTTTTTTCCGAATCTGCAGCGGACGACGGCGACACGCTCTCGAAGGGCTACGACTACCTCCTCGGCATGAAGATCTGGAGCCTCACGCTGGAGAGGGTTAAGCTCTTGGAGAACGAGCTAGAGGCCAAGACCGAAGAGATGCGGATTCTCAAGGTGCGTTGAGCAAGGACGCGTTTGTGCGTTTCGTCGGGGGTGCGATGTTGGTCGAACGACGTTCGTGTCTTAACATTTCGCCCCTGTGGCTCAGGAGGGCGTGCGTCCGGTTGCGATTGGTGTTGATGCTGTTGTTTCTAGTGGCGGGTGGTGTTTGTTGTTGCTGCTACTGCTGCCGGTGCTCGCCTAACTGAGTAGGTCCGGAGTTGGGGATCAACAGGTCGGTCATCAGCCTCGCGGTCTACCCATACAACTGGTGGTCGTGGGGTACATTTTCCGTTTCCGTAAGATTGCGAGTCAGCGCGCAGGGGTGCGAGCGACTTGCTAAGCGCTAGTTCTCCTCAACCAGGAGGTTGCCATTGTCGAAAATGGCGGTTTGAGAATATCTCATCAAGATCTTGTCTGACAAGTATTAGTTGGCGCTCGCACCCTTCTGGCTATGGCGAAATGACGGTTTGAAAATCGCTTGCACCCCTGTGCGCTGATTGGCAACCTTGCGGTATCTTACGCTTCGGCAACGTCGGTTTGCCCTTAACGGCCATCTCTCGTCGACCACCAATACAACACCGCTCTGTCTGCTCTGAAATATGCGAACGATCCGAATTATGATGTGATTGTCCCAATGGTCCCTATTCAGTTGAGGTCCCTGTCTAGTGCGGGTATGTGCGCAGAACATTCACCGGTGCTAGACCCGATCGGTACAAGTACTGAGAATGGCTTGGAAATTCAGTGAGGGCCCGCCGAAAAAACCTGCACTATACCCGGCACCGGCACCGCCGACCTGTCAGGTTTATTATTTTGTCTGATTGTTTTGTCTTCCCCGGGCGTTGGTGGGGCGTGTCTCTCCCCCGCCTCCCGCCGTTAGGCTACAGCGCCCTCGGAGCTGTGGTTGAAGGATCTGGATGCTCTGGGAGACGTCTTGGATGAGATCGACGAGATCATCCGCAAGCAGGAGGTCGAGGACGCCAAGCAGCGCAAGAACGCCGGCAAGCGCAAGGTGCGTTTGTTGTGTATTTTGCTTTCTGCATCGACGGCGTTGCACGGCTGATAATGAAAACATGTCAGTCTTGTAGCGGGATAAGATACACGGACAATGTATAAAATGTGTTTTAGCTTTGTTGTAGCGTCAACCACGCTAACCGGCCGACCAATGAAAAGAGGCCAGTCTCAGAGCGGCTTACAACAGCACTGCTTCTATAAGAGGCCATGGTATTGGACTCCTCGAGGGGGGGGGCTAAGCTACGCTGTGTGCATATTTCCACGCGGAGGCGGGTCTTAACGTTGTTGCTGACGGAATTGTGGTCGCTTGTTTATGTTCTGATCGATTCTTCCGTTTGGTTTGGTCGCGGTACAATGGCGTATCAACAATCGCGCATGACAGTGGGAGGCGAAGTTACGAGCAAGGGTTGGGTGCCTGCAAGGATTGGGTGCCTGCCGGGACTGCTTTTTGCTTACGATCTTGTTTCGAGGTTGTTGTTGCCTTGTTTTTGGGGAAAACATGGTGACGCCGTGGGTTTTAGGTACCAAACAGTAGGTGAACGAAAATGTTTTAGCGAATCGAAGGACTGCACCATCTCTCTCTCGCTCTCTCTCTCTCTGCTGTCGTCGCAAGAGCACTGGCCGATGATTTTGTTTCGTCGGCAAGCTTAATTGTGTCGCGCACGTGTGTGACCAGGTCTTGTGTTGCGTCGAGTCTTGGCCTCTATGTACAACCAAGTTATGTTTCAGCAAGGTCGCTTCGTGTTTCGTCGGCTCTATCTTGTGTTGCCGACACGCGTCAGACGCATTTCATGACCTCTCGTTTTTCCTAACCACCATTACTGTCCTCGCCGGACACGTTTCGTTGTTGTCGCCATCTCCTGCCCCTCGGCGCTCAGGGCGGGGGCCGAGGCAGGGGCCGCGGGGCACAGGACGACGACGGTGACTCAGACTTCGAGGAGGATGGCGGTTTCGGCAAGAAGAAGAAAGCCTCGAAGGCCAAGGCAACTCCCCCGCCTCCGCCGCCGACGCGGGCCCCCGTTCCGGAGCTGGTGTTTTGCTCCAGCGGAGGGAAGGTAATTGCTTGATGACGGCGAGGGGGCTATCCATGCCCATCCCCAACAAGACGCCCACCCGAGGAGGGATGTATGTGGTCGTACCGCGAGTTTCCTCGGTTTGCTCGCGATTGTTGTTTTCTTTTGACTTTGTGCGGAAATATGCTTTTCTGCCGGGGGGCTTGTGCAATTCTGCTCTCGTTATCCCCGTTTCATTCAATACCGGTCGCGCCAGGAGTCTAGCTGGTATCGTCGAAAACGTTCTAGTTGTCAGAGTCTGGAGTTCGAATCCCGGCGTAAGCGAGCTTTTATTTCAAAGTGTTTTTTTTTCCCACCTACGTTCCTGGCCTGGCTGGGTGGAAAGCGCTACAGTACATGCTGTTCGTGTGTACACAGAAGGAAGAGAGTGCTGCATCATTCTCGCATAAAGTGCTGAAGGCAACGTGCCACAGGAGGGGTGGACGGGGGGCCTCAGGGTGAGGAACCCTCCTATTTGACCACGGGTTGGGGTGAACGGACAAGTGCTGTGAGCGCTGATTGCAAGTGAAGACAACAACGCTCCTTTCACTATTTGCAGCTCTCTATCCCTGTGGCCCTTGTTGCGAGGAAGGTCATGTCGCTCAAAACCCTCCGCTTGCATGTGTCGAACGGAAATCACAGGTCTCGCCGGCATTCGGCCAGGCCGAATCAATGGGGAAGTTCTTCGCCGTGGTGAAAAAGTCGGATGAGGACGTCGGGAGCCTCGGCGGGGACGGTGACGATGGCGACCATGGGATGGACCCCGGCGGATTTACAGGAAGCGGCGGCAGTGGCCACGGCGACCAGGTTAGAACGCAACAGTGAGAGCTGCTTATTGTGGTCCCTCTTGGCGTCGATAGTGTTGGTGGCAGCGGTATTCTGCCCCTTTGTTTTTTCGCCTTCGACGATACAGCAGTAGATTCGGCGTTTGCGAATACAGAGGCTCCTATATAGGTCCCGATCTTGGCCATCAAGGCCTGTAGTGGAGGGTCGGCAAATCGCGCCCCGAACGCTGGGGCGCAACCTTGTGGTTGATTCCAGCGTCATGTTTCCCGCGTCCCGCGGTTCGCCCCCCCCCCCCCCCCCCCCCCCC